GAAAGGCAGTCTCGCTTCAGTTCGCGAATTGGAAGTATCTCCTAAAGGCCTTATCCCGGGGCCGCACTGCCCCGGGATCCTGCAAGCCTCCATTTACACGTGAAGTCTTCGGCGAAGCCTTCTTCAAACTCGGGCCGCGCCACTCCGGAATCCTACAAGCCTCCATCTACCTCGGAAGTCGCTTCGAGACTACTACAAGCGCGGGGGCCACACTACTCCGGGCACTACTACTACTTACTCCAGGCGCCGAGTGCACCTACCGCCGGCGCTACCTTTGGGCGCTGCAACTGCTGGCTCTAAGCGTTGTGCGCCCCTTCTCCAGGCGCTACGTGCGCCGGCTCCGGACGCTGCGTGTACTGGCTCCAGGCGCTGCGCGCCGTCGCTGCTAAGAAACCTACTTCTACAAGCGCAAACGGCGTGTGCTGGCTTCAGGCGCTGCGTGCCGTCGCTGCTAAGAAACCTACTTCTACAAACGCAACGTGTGTCGCTTCGACTTTTAGGCCCCACTTCAACGCTATATTCCCCTATTCTCTCACCTTTATTTTTTTTTATAATCTAATTGTATTCTCACCTCATTCATCATCATCCTCATTCCATTTTTTTTATAAAATTGTAAATACCTTTTATAAATTTAAATATATTGTTTTCTGGCTCTACCTTTGTTGTTTTGTTGTACTTAGGTTAGGTTCTATTTTTTTTTTTTTTATTGTCGCTTCACGACAACCTTCAAGAAAAGAGTAATAATTCTCCTGGTATTCCAGTCGTCATATTCGATCATATTCGACGATAGTCACTTACCATCGGAAGAGCTGCCGCTCGTTTGCACCCTCTTGTATAAAAAAAACATATATCTTTTTACTATTGATCCCGAATTGGACCAAAATTTAATTATTGAGTTATTCTTGTCAAGAAATTCTCAGTAACACCCCGAGTCCAGGAGGTTGGCGGTGTTTCACCCCCGCGCCTCGGAAACCACGTAAAGCCGTTGGTCCCGCGCCTCATCTCTTTCTTCGGTCGGCTTTTGCCATCCCATCGGACTATGAAAGTTATGAAACACAAAATATACTTGTGCTTGCGCATACACACAGGCACACTAATCCTATCCTGCGCATATGGCTAGTTTTCGTTGAGACTAGCCGCCATGACCGAAATTTTGTCTGAAGAACATTATTATTATCATTCTTTATGTACTGTATGATTTGTATCTATACTATAATATATATGATGTCTATCTATATATCTTCTATTACTATAATAAAACTCTAACACGACGTCTGTCTGCACATGCATCAGGGTTCCGTGCAAAATAATATAAAAATTGATTATCCATCCAATCGCAATAAATTCCACGCGGGCGTGTAGCTAGTATTATATATTATCATATGATATATATAATTGCGTATAGCTAAGATGAACATTACCTGAAGACTGACGTTGGATATTAGGTAAGTATGAGGACGGATACGAGATCCAGGGGATAATATGCGGTAGTTGATTTTCCTACGTCGCTATTACACGACAATCACCACTTTGATTAGGAGATTTTAGGAGGCGGCATTTTGGGAATCAAATTCTGCTACTTGCTTTAACTAGTTGTGTATCAGAAAAACCCAAAATTAGGGGCTTTTTGGGTGCTAATTAGATGCCAGGATTAAAAATTAGGTGCTCTAAAATTTTCATCACAACGAACTGTTAAAATTTGCGTTGCTATTAAAACGTATGGCTATCAACGCAATTAAGTAATTAGATATAAAAATTTATCGTTGCTATTAATATTTTTAATAGCAATGAATTAAGTGCTAATTAGGTGCTGTAAATATAGGCAATGACAAGGCGCCTCTAATAAAAATAAAGTCGTTATTCAGAACAAAGCAGATGCAAAATTCAGGTTTTCTAAAAATTAGAATAGAATCATAATTGCTTTTATAAAAAGCCCAAAACTAGGGGCTTTTTAGGTGCTAATTAGGTACCAAGTTTTAAAATTAGGTGCTCTAAAATTTTTACCGCAACAAATTGTTAAAATTTTGTAAAAAGTTGCTAGCGATACATTTTGCTAGCAATGCAAATTTCAACAATTTACTAGGTTCTTTTCTTGAAGGCCTATAAGTCTTTTTTTACCAGCGATTTCTTTTCAGACACATACAGTGCGGAAAAATCACTGGCGTTAGTCGATTTCACAAAATAATTGTGCCAGCAAGAAAAAAATCTCATAAATCACACAGTAATGGATCGCCAATCATCCAGATGGTATGGATGGTATCGCAAATTATGTCGATTTATTTTAATTCTTCGAAAAATTTGTTATACATCTTTTAAAAATATTTTTTAAATTTTTTTTTTGACTTGCAGTATTCTTCACTATTCTTTTACGAACTAGTTAAGAAGAAAAATATTTAATTGCTGGCTCTTTACCCTTCAATCCGGAAAATAGTAAAATAACTACATTAAAGCAAAATTTATACATACGCATAATAAACGTTATTCCTTCCAAGCATTTAATAATTAAACCAGCGATAATTTCATTGCTCTAAATGAATCAATTAATGGACTGAAACTTTCTTTATGGACGTTTGAATTGAGTAGCGATCGTGAAGTTTAATTACACTAACAACTTGAAGGAATTGCAGTTAGGACTTGACAGAAACTTTTGCCAGTTATTAGAACCATTTGTATTTCATTTAATTTAAATAAAAAAAGAAAGAAGTAAAGAAAGAAAGAAGCACGTTACTTCCAGTTAAATCTTACAGCCCAAATTAAAAAGCCTTTATAGATAGATGTGTTAGTAATTCGGAATCCTGATAAAACTGACTGCTGCCACATGGCTATCAAATTTTAAAAGTAAATAGTGTACACCTGAGGATGTCTTGTGTAGAAGCGAAACACGTGTCATATTATTGTCAGTCACTACTGACAATAATATCAATAGATTTTTCCTAGTGTAGTGGCGTTGGGAGTAGTGGTGCTGGGGTTATTGGTGACGGGGATAGTGCTCGCAATTGAGAGAGGGTGGGAGGTGCTCTTTAAACTAGATAAGACACATCATTTTATTTCATTAAGCGGATATACGCAAAGTAATTTTTGCTAAGTTTAATATATTGTTTTTTTTATCATATTCTACTAAGCGAGCGCTTATCTGCGATCCTGATGGTAAGTGGTGAAGCGCACTAACTTAACAAAAGTTCATTCACTCTTGCCTTGAAGACACCCACACTGTAATCGGATGGAAAGACAGATTCTGGCAACTTGTATCACTCCTTTGCTATACGCATGATGAACGACGTAGCGAACCATTTGATTCGAATGCGTGGTAAGTCAACAACGACAAGGTGGAGACCGGCTAAACGTCTAGTTGTCCGGTGGTGGAAGGGAGAGGGAGGAATTAAATTATGCAATTCCTGCCCACACTCTCCGAAATGCATCCTGTAGAAAACTGAAAGGCTGGCTACTTTGTACCTGTGTTCGAGGCTAGTAAGATTGGTTTTAACCAAATTCGGGTCCAAGTTGAGTCCAAAGCTACCAAGTGGCATTTTGCAGTACCAGCTCATATATGGCAGCAATAATCCATGCACGACCGGACTTGCGCTTTATATCAAGTAAGCAGCTGTTCCGGCGTGAAGTATCACCGCACCATTGCAAGGACTCCCAGCTTCCTTGCAGCTCCTTTGGTCTTGGACTTAATGAGTTCAGAGTTGAGTCAAGTTCAGATTTGAGGATATCTTAAGCTCTAACAACTGAAGGCGGTCAGTATATTCTAGTGATACATTTCAGAAAGAAGGAAGCAAGGTGAGCTGGCTCCTTTTTGCGGATGAAAAAAGGCGACGGGGATAAGCCGTACGTTGGATGGAAGCTTACCCAAAAGGCTAGTGTGCTAAAGTCTATCAAAGGCCTTCGAGACATCAAAGGAAACAGCAAGTGCTTCCACACTGTTCTCGAGTGCCTCGCCCATATGTAGTATACGTTAGAAGGTCTCCAGCTGACCTATTTCGGCGAAACCCATATCGTAGGTCACTAAGGAGGTCATTGTGTTCCAGATATGCCATTAAGCGGGCATTCAATATACGCTCCATAATCTTGCAGAGTATGTAGGTAATTGAGAATGGCCGATAATTGGCAGGGTCGGAACGGCTGCCTTTTTTTAGAATAGACAATATTTCCGCAAATTAACGCCTGATTCTATTAATTACTATAGCATTGATATTTGCTATAGTTGCCCCGCTTGGCATGCGGGTTGGCTCACATGGTATTTTTATTATTTTGAGTAATAATAATCAAAAAGATATCAGCATCTTTCTGATTACTATCCCATCTGTTTAATTTCCACTCTCTCACTTCTTATGACCTCCCATAGTATCGTCTGGGAATTTGAATATATTTTATAGTTTTTAATTATTTTAGGATGCTTAAACTGTTACATATATACTATTTTCTAACTTAAATATATTTAAGGGTAACGTGGAGCATTATATTACTTATATCTGTTTTAGTTTGATAGGTATTTTATGTATATTATATTATGATATCTTAAAATATATAATGTTCGTTGTAACCGTCTTCGTAGTTTAATCACTGCCTTAAGGTTGACGGACAGAGAATGTTTTTAGCATTAAGTCCGCCTTTTGATCCTGTACTGATATTAGATTCAATAAAGTTTAAATAAATGGATAAATAAACTTCTGATCTTCGGAAATGGCTAACTTACCATTTAACTTCTACACGTTAAGTCCAGTAAACACCGTATTGTCGTCGGCTTCTGTTAATTTAAATTGACGCCAACTTGTAAACAAACTTTCGCGGAACCTACTCTTACCTTAAACTCTAAAGTTGCGACCAAAGTTGAGGCTTAAATTTGATTTTAGTAAACTGTTTGTTGTGATGTTATTTTCTTATGCAACTGTTCCGTACTATTGGATAACTTAAAAAACAACCAGCTTTTTTCATATAATAATCGATGCAAAGATCCCATCTCGTATATAAAAGGCATAAAATATCAAACAGACAATCAATAAATATATTATTTATTGTACACCAATACACATTAAAACAAAAACAAAGAGAAATAAATCATATAGAAAGTACAATAGGTGGTCTTATCGCTGTGGAAGCGATTTATTCCAGAATACCATTTTGCGCAAAGAACTGATGTTTACAAATAAGGGCAATATCCTGACCGGCGCCGGGCAGCAGCGGGAAACGTGCGTGAGGACTCCTACCGCGATCGTGACTCCACTTGCCAAGCGTGACGAGTGAGTGTCGATAGAGTTTAACGAGTTCGACGGAGCATAGTAAAGGAAAACTTTTAATGTTGTAGTCACGCTGCAGCTAGATTATGGTTTTAATGAACATCTTTTCTCGATTAAGAATCAAAATACAGTTGCGTTGAGCCTAAATGGAATGCCTCGTTTCTAAGAAAAAGGGTCACCGGTTCTCTACACTCACTATACGAAACAACAGCATGAAGCTAATATGTTAGGCTGGTATTCTGTTAAAAATAAGTCCCTCGGTCGAACCAACCCATTCGCGCTACTGTGGCGGCGCTGTCGTTGCGCCACAAGCGAATCATATAGAAGCCTAAATCGCGCTAACAAAGTTCCGAAGTTAAAGCAGTATATATAGAATAGCTCCGAACTACCACTCGGAGCGTTGGCCGCTCCCCGGGCAGAACACCTTGCCCGGCGGGAGATCTCCCCTTTTCCTTCCACCGGCCACACTACAATTATAATAAAGCTGTAGCGTGGTGCTACCACGTATACGACCATAATACAGCTGCAACGTAGCTCTGCCATGAATAAAACATTACCTTATAAAACACTAAAGTGTTTTATAGTGTAATGTTAAAGTGGTATATAAAACGATTAAACTATAAAAAAGTGATTTATAGTCTCTTTAAATATTTACATTAATAACTTCAAAAGGCCCATTAATAACAAAACTTTGTAGTTTCGATTTCACAAAGTATGAATAGAATGACTTTAATTTATCGCGATGAAGAAAAACTTTTCTTCCAATTCAGCCTTCGTTCGGGACTACTAACAAAAGTCAAACGCATTGCATTTGCTTTTGAATTATTTATTTAAAAAAAATTAAAAAATATTTCTATCTTTATAAATAATTTGTTTCAAAATGCAGTATAATGGCTTCGTAAGAGAATCCATCAGCTTTTAGCCGACTTTAAAAAAGGAGGTTTACAAATCGGCTGAATGTTTTTGTATGTATGTTACGCAAAATCATCGCTACGTAAAATTTTGAAGACACTCAAAAGGGTAATAATAACTTTTAATAAAAAGTAAAAGCCGATATTAAAGAACTATAAAGAATAAAATAATAGCATTGCACAATTGGGCATGGCTCTGCCACGTTTATTATTTTGCGTTTGTCACTTCAATTTCATTTAGGAAATATGAGCGTATGTTATAAATAATGCGAATGTCAATAATGCCTTTTTTCGTTGAAAAATAGCGCGTATTTCTCAGAAGGTTCGACGATAAAATGACGTAAAAGGTTATAAAGGCGTATTTGGCCATCTCGTACATACGTCAGAGCTCATAGCCTACAGCGTGGATATCGAAGGGTCAAAGTTTTATTGCGTCTCTCTGAAATATTTTCTTAGCAAGCGTGATTAAATTTGCAAAACTAAATTCGGTTACGAAAATATATTTGTAGCTTTATATGCGATCTTCTTGTGTTCTCACGTGTCTAAGCGTTTCTTTTATTTGGTTTGAAAATGAATTTATAAAAAAATAAAAAAGTACTGCATTACCTCGAAAGTAGACTGCCACGGGTTAATGACGATGAGGATGATGATTATGTTAAGTAAGAGGTATCGGACTTATGTGGCAATAACTAGCATACCCTTACCTTCGCAAGTTATCAAGAGTCCACTGTTGAACATAGGCATTTTCCTTAGATTGCCCGATATTCCTGAGGACATTGGCAATAGTTACCCGCTTGGCAGACTGGTTGACAGTTTCAGTTTTTTGATATTATTGTTTGTTATTGGCAATACGCTGCTGCCTATCACTTTGTTACAATATCAAACATGATTTTGCTGAATACGATTAAGCACGAACAGGAATGAGTGCATATAATTTTAACGTTGTACTCAGAGTCACTACAGGCACTGTGGATATATTACTAATGGCTAGTTTCAATCGCGAAAAAACTCGTTCTCCACAACGTTAAATAGCAGCAATACGCTGCTGTGTTTCGTGAAATGTGTGGCGAGAACCGGACAGGTTCTCCGTTTTCTCATAACGAGTCATTCCATCTTAATTTGAATAGGGTTATGACAACGCATCCGCTGTTTGGTTATTTATCGAAGATGTAGGCGTCAATCGACCACAACATTTATAAACCATCACAAGGACTGTGTGCTCGTTTATCACCCAACCTAAAATAAAAAACTTAGTTCATGATAAAAAAGATAGACTGAAATATAATGTGACGTATAACAACTTAGATATAGATGACGTTATAAATGCTTCATTTTATTAAAATGCTGTGTAATTCAAAAAGTCGCGTTCTTGTAAGTTTCAAATTATTCCTTTTTGGTGCATTCTTCAAGTGGGACACATTTCTTGGTTACAGTATCCCTGACAGTCGGAGGAGCGCAGTAGCAAGCAGAAAAGTCACAAATCTTCCCACGCGTGTCTGGTTGGGGATTTGGTTCATCGCATGTCGCCTCCTTTGTCAAATAACCACATCCAAGAGCATAAGCTTGAGTACCCTCCTCACATTCTCTGTCACCTGGAAGTTAATAAAAAGTGAGTTAACTTACTATTCACACACTGCTTTCGGCAATCTTCACTCTCTTCAATTCCGATTAAAAAAGTCATAGCGCTCAAAGTTCGTAAAAACGTGATGAATGAGTTACTCTTAAAATCGGAATACAGCAGTAAATAAGCTAAGAGAAGCTCTGATACTTTGTAACTTGTAAAGAAGTAAGCTAAACTAATTAAGTGATAAATATCAGATTTAATTCCATAGAAGTGAGAAGTGAGGGTAACAATATGGCGTACATTCACCTATTAAAAAATGTGGAAAGTATATCCTCTAAGAATGAAATGCAGATAGGTTGTCACACATGTGCACTAAGAGTGCCTCATTACCAGTGAAAAAGGTATTTCGTTCTCGCCACTAATAATACGAAACACAGTGGTAACATTTTATACTATTTTATACTGGTATTGAGTGCAGTAGGTTTTATGTGAATTTTTTATATATTTATTTTTATTTATTTGTTCTTTTAATTTTTTTTGTTTTATTTTAAGATACGTCTGTTTCATCACTTGCCTAAGACCGTGTATGGTTAATGCACAAAGGCTTTGGCAAAATAGCAAGAGCAATGGGTTTCCCGTTACAACCGAGTCACAGACCGTTTTGTCACAAGAAATTATTAAGCTGTGTATTTCAAACATTGTATTTTTGTGGCAAATAAATACTTTTTATTTATACATTTATTTGACCGGTCTAGCTATTTATGCTGCAGCTAAATTTCTTTGCAGCGTAGCTCTACTGTAAGTAATTTATAAATTCGATACAATCAAACGCCACCAGATATTTTAATTATTAAAAATCATATAGAGTCACTTTCTATAAATACGTAGTTTTAAAATCTATGCCATTTTATTAATACAGAAGCATTCACTTATGATTAAAACTGTTTGTTACTTACACCGTCCCATAATGTATATACACCCCCGTGAATGTGGAACGGTATCACAGAGCGTCACACTGACAACAGCCAATAACACGAAACAAATTACAGATTTCATTGTAGTAGTTTTATTTTCTTAATTAATTTAAACAACTTCCGTCTGAGGGTTACTATATCAAACTGAACGTAAAGACTTAAATAGGTCGCTTATATCTAAGGTCAAAAGTAGAATCACGTTTTGATATGTACAACAACAAAAGTGAGCAAGCAGGTTCAAAGTATTATATAAGTAGTAAACATCGTTGATAGCTCGTGAACTTTCAGCCTTGTATCAGATAAAGCTGCAAGAGCAGTATAGGTTAACAACACTTACACCACAGACGTCGTTGGATTGTGCCGCGTTGCTGCCACGACGGTACCCATATTCCATAATTACTTGAATTTTTAACGTATCCATGATAAGTTAGATTCAAATGCAATGAAAACATATCGTTAATTAATAAACAAATAACTAATTTAGAAAAAAAATCCATAATTTTAAAATAAAATTACTATAAAATTAGAATTCCTAACCAAACAAAAATTACTTTGAGTTGAAATGATGAAGCATTGCAGAACGGCAATTTTATGGGTAACCTGTTATTTAAGTCAAAATCAGGTCTTGAGATATGTATATTTATGATTATGGGGGGCAGCCTGAGCACCCACGTTCAGGATTGGAATAACATGGTCGTGGATGCTCAGCGAGGGATTCTCCAGGGGTACTGGTACCCTCCTGGGGTAGTCTACTGTATAATTCCGCTACCATGTTGATGGGGGGGGGGGGGGGGGGGGAATTGGGCCTCCGGCCACCTGCACTCACCAGACGAAACGCAGAAGCAGAGCCTCTACTTCACGCCAGTATTCTGTGAGGTCGTGGTACCAACCCGGCTCGAGCCGGCCCATACGTGCAACAGCAAAAACTGCTGCGGGGCTCTACCACCGTTAAAGAATAATTTATGACTTTTATTATACAGGGTATTTTTGGAACGCTCCCGAAAACTAAGACAGGCGACAGCACCAAGTAAGTATACCTTTGATCATGGGTTACAAATAAATTTGATCCTGATGAAAAAAAAATCATATTTTTACAACGTTTTATTAGCTTTATTCACGCGCCATCATGTTAGTACAGCTAAATGAAACTATAATTTCATAAAAAAAATCATAAAAATACTGAAACATAAAACCAGCAGTGGAAACTGAATTGATATCACCTGACTAATGGAGGTTAATGTACGCGCGAACGGTGAAAAAAGAACGCTTGGCCTTGAACTTGGGCACTGAGCGATTTATCACATATTGGTACGAAGGGGGCGTGACGGGGGAACAATCCGCCAGTATTACTGTGCCTGCATGCTATTGGTTCCCGCGCTTTGTTCGCTCCTAAAATACAGTCGCATACACAGCTTACTATGCGACTCGCGACGATGTTTTAAAAAGGAAGGAAAGAAAAATTATTTATATCTATTGTTTTATGACTAAACTAGTGAACGAAAAGGTAAATATGATAGGAGAAGGTGAATGGGGAAAATTGTGCATTAAAGTTAAAAGTGTTGAGGAAGTATACCGAAAAATTACCATGTGATCGACCTGATGACGGAAGCTCAAGCGAAGATGAAAGTGATGATGAAGTGCTACTTCCAGTGCCAGTGCCAGATGTTGATGGTGTGTTGGTGTTACTGGATGCTATCCAGTAACACCAACACACCATCAACATCTGGCTTCCATGTGACCCAAGACGTCAGCGTGTCACCCTTAGCTTAAGTTTTCTTGTTACGAACTACTTTATATTTTACGATAGAAATAACAAATAATGGTCAAGTAAACATTATCCATTTTTAATTCCCACCTCTTCCAAAGTTCTAAGTAGCTAGTAAAACACCTATTATGATTCTACAATAAAAGAATTAATTACTATAATATTATAAAAAAATAGCCCAATACCATGTAGTACTTTAGAACGCGACTGTACCCACACTCCCTCCGCTGTCGACCTGTATCTAGATCGGTACGAAACAATGCCGCGGTCATAAGAAAAAAGGGCGCATCTAACAATTTTTGAATAAATGAGTTAAATATACCATTCGACTCATGATAAGAAGGCGCATCTACAATTTTTTTTAATATTCACAAATATCAATATTTTAGAAATTATCGTAAGAATTTTAGACGTAACTGTTGATCACAGATGACATTTTTTTAGTAGAAAAGACTTATACAAATTCAACATAAAAGAAAAGACTTATTTAACCAGTTGCTACGTCATCTTTAACAATATTTGCATCGATTACTTAAGTTTCAATTATTCTTGTCTTATTATTCTATATCTTATTATTAAGAGCTTATATCTTATAATTAAGAGCTGGTGTTTCACATGTGGTCCCATATAAATTTGATCGAGGTCAGACCAATAGTTTTTGAGTTATCCTTAATTATTTATATTAAAGTCGGTTGTACAAAATTTTTAATTTTTAATTATTATCGTAGTAAGTCTTGTATGATATCGCCTTTAAAATCATTACTCAAGAGTTGCGGGTTGTTATTTTTTTGTGTCTCACTACCAATGCTTTTCTAATATTTACTAAGAAAAAAGTAGTAAATTACTATTAACGTCCTTTCAACTTCAAATGACCTTTCCAAAATATGTAAAAATGTTAAATGAATGGCAGTTTTTTTTTATTTATTAGGTTAGGAAGACGCAAATAGTTATATGCGTCTTTCCTTCGATGTTTTTTTGTTTCCAGGTGTATTTTTTAATCTAAGATGAAAAGGAAAATTCGTTTTATTTAAATAAATAAACAAATTATCAAAGAATAAGTTCGTCCTTAAAATCTTCATGTCTCTACGTATATTTCCATTATACTTTAGACACGGGGTCTGAATGAAAAATTCATCAATTTATTTTTTATTTCCATTTTACGTTTTTGTTAGTTGCGTCCTTCTTTATTATGACGGCAGAATGTAACCCAGCCGACTCGTGTCGCCTCACGCTGTGACGCAGTAGGTTTCAGTTTTGTCGGGGTTCGTTATTAATTGTAATTTTTGAAACAGTTCCGTGTTGATTTTGTACACGCGTGCGCGAACGACAGCTTACGATTACGTGTTGGTATTATTCTTGTTGTTACGTTTTTTGTTTTAATAATGCTTAACGCGTACGTTTATAGTGATTGTGAATACGGCTACATGTTATGTATCCGAACCTAGGTACACGAAGTATCGCTAAATAAATTGTTAAGACGTCGGGATGGAACAAGTGTGTCATACTGTGCAGTGTACAAAGTGTTGAAGCGTAACCGAATGCACCCATACAAATTGCACAAAGTGCAAGCTTTAGTTCCCGGCGATCACGACCGCCGACGAGTTTTCTGCCGTTGGTTATTATACCAGCAACAACGTGTGCCTGGTTCCATTGAGCACATTATCTAGACAGATGAGTCGACATTTACCAGAAACGGCCTGTGGAACCAAAGAAATACACACGTGTATTCAGAGGTTAACCCGCACGCTGTTCGACAAACTGGACACCAAACCCGATGGTCGGTTAACGTATGGGCAGGTTTATTTAAGGATCGCATACTGGGACCAGTGTTTCTGTCAGAGCGACTGAACGGACAGCGAGACCTAAACTTTATAAATGAACAGTTGGTTGACATTTTAAACGACCTATCGTTGGCTGAATATCACCACACATGGTTCCAGCATGATGGTGCCCCTCCACATTTCGTGAGGTTCGTTTGTGAGCGCCTCAATGAGCTATTTGATGATCGCTGGATCGGCAGACTAGGACCACACGCTTGGCCACCTCGTTCACCAGATCTGACCCCGTTAGACTTCTTTTTGTGGGGTATGTGAAAGAAAGGGTTTTTAATCGTGAGTGTGATAGTGCTGACGAAATGCGCCAAAGGATCGTGGATGTTTTCGAGAAACTACGTACGGACTGTGTCGAAGACGACACGATGATGCCCTGCCTGCACCCAAATCTACCTTGAAATGAATGGAGCACAATTTGAGCCGCATCTCATAAGACCACGGTGGATTTAGAGCGGTAAACTGTTTCATAACTATTTTTTTTTTAAATAACTTAGTACTAGACTAATCTGAATAGGTACATAACTGAATAAATGAGAATAATAAACATACCTACATGATGAATAAAAACGCATGACTCCAACCTTGGTTACATTTCATTTAAGTATTTTTTCATTAGCGAGGAATCGAACCAGTTATTTGGGTTATTTAACCTGTAAATTCGGATTAAAGTGGCTACGTGGAGACACGCACAGTGGCAAAATAGTAGCTTAAGTAGATAAGTTAGGTATTTAGACAAGTGTTGTAAATTATTAGGTATTGTGGTATGGCCCGCTAGTTGCGGGCCGCGCGAATTTGCGTTCGCACGTCCATTGACCTTTAGTCAGGTGATATCAATTCAGTCATTCCACTGCTGGTTTTATGTTTCATTATTTTCATGATATTTTTTATGAAATTATCGTTTCATTTACCTGTACTAACATGATGGCGCGTGAATAAAGCTAATAAAACGTTGTAAAAAGATGATTTTTTTTTCATCAGGATCGAATTTATTTGTGACCCATGATCAAAGGTATACTTGGTGTTGTCGCCTGTCTTAGTTTTCGGGAGCGTTCCAAAAATACCCTGTATATCAATCTAGTATATTTCATTCATTGAATACCTTCGATCTTTGTAAACATCCCCATAGTCACGAATTACGATACGCAAGAGACGAAATGGGGTAAATAACAGATATTATAACGATGTTACCATAAAGTACCTTATAGTAGTGTAGTATGTACAACTCGCCTCCATTTTTAACTGACTTCAAAAAAGAAGATTCTCAATTCGAATGTATTTTTATGTGTGTTATCTCAGAACTTTTTTTATAAGTAAACTGACTTTGATGTTTCTGTTTTTATTTGAAAGCTACTTATCATATGGTCCCATATAAATTTGATTAAGATCTAACCTGTAGTTTTTGAGAAATCCTTATTGATGCATCGACTACATTCACGATGTTCTCATTTTATTTATATTGAAGTCGGTTGTACAAAATGTTTAATTTTACCACTTATTTGTTTTACACTCGTGGAATAAGGATGTATCCAGACTATGTATACAATTTATG